TGTAGGAAACAATCAGAAGTGGAAGGCTGCTGTGTACAATCCTACACATCAAGTTGTCAAAACCATCAAAGGAGAAGGCAAGTTGAGCCAGTTTGCAGAAGCTGGCCCTAGAAATAGTGAATGAGAAAAGCAGCCATTACTCTATGTCAATACTGACTCATGGATGGTGGCAAATGCCCTGTGAGGGTGGCTGCATCATCAGAAGCAGGCCAACTGGCAGTGCAGAGGTAAACCCGCCTGGACTGCTGCCTTCTAGCAAGACATTGCTGCCTGGGTAGAAAGCACTACTGTAAAGATACATCATACAGATGCTCACAAGCCCAAGGGCAGCACTGAAGAACTCCAAGACAATGAGCAGGTAGATCAGGTTGCCAGAATTTAAGTGCCTCAGTTAGACCTGGACTGGGAACTTAAGGATGAATTAATCATAGCTCAGTGGGCCCATGAAATGTCAGGAGGTTTATGAAGAGACATAAAACATATAGATGGGCTTGTGATCAAGGGGCGGACCTAACCATTGAAGCCATCACACAGGCTACTCATGAACGTGAAATGGTGATTCAGACCTTCAGTGAGATGGAACTAGGCCAGATGTCCATGCCTCAAAAGAAAATGGGCAATGAGAGTGTTTTGGTTTTTCAAGGTCGTATGACACTCCCTCTCCAGTTTTTTCGCTTACAAAGGGAACAGGAAATTATTATCTAAAACTTACACTGCTTATAATGTCAGTTGGTTCCCAGTAGAGTCACTCCTGACAGAAGAAGCCGATAAGCCTCTGGTATGCCTTGGCAGCTACTCATAGAAATCTCTAGGTTCATCCAGTTCTTGTCCATTCAAACTGTTTCAAATAAATTTCTATAGGATATATAGAGGTAATCTTGCCTCACAAGGGCCACAAAACCTGCAGATGAATAATGCAAATCATCTGAGGAGCATCTTCAGTTGGTAGAGCTAGTCTAAAGGCTTGATTTGTATTCTCTTCTGTACTAACTACCTGAAACTTTTGACCTCAAGGAGTCACTTCTCAGCTATACTGTTGTAAGATGGGAAAAGAGAGTTCTTGTCAGCCTGAGAGGTGATACAACTGTAGTTAACCCCAAAGAGGAATCAGTTCTTACTAGTGCAGTATGTTTAATAGAATTTTGAATTCTAATTTTCTTTTAAAGAGAATTCTTTATTTGCATTTAATGGTAGGCAGTTACAGCTGAAAAATCTGAAGGTAATACTGTTCTGATTTCTGAACAATCTGTGGTGCCTGGAAGAAAGGCTGACTTATCATAGGTTTTAGGTGTAAGTCTAATCGGAAGTGAAGTAGGTTGAAATACGTAAATGTGAGAAGTTGGTGTTAACAAGTTTCATTTTGGAGAGGTGATTGCATGTTTGTGATATAAGAACAGCCAGATTAGCTCAAACTAAAAGTCTGTCAATCCTAGCATTCAGTCTTACAGTCGTCAATAGCAGACTGATAGACTCCTCTTACAGCAAGGAGTACAAGGACAAAGCAAGTATACAGTCATACTTACCCAGCACATGGCCCCAGCTTCTACATATCTGTGGTTTGGGAACTACCCAATCCAAAGGAATCCAAAGGCACTGCTTATGCATTTTTCTGCAATTGAATTTGATCACTTGACCTCTTAGAAGGAAGCTTCTGATATTTACAGTATCTTGGAGAGACTGTTCAGTGGCTTTATCACCCATTATCATATAATCATATTTCTTCATAAGAAATGCTTCCTCTTATTTATTTGAACTTGACATATTACAATTTCATCTAATACCCTTTCACTCTTGAAGGATAATGAACAGTTCTTATCTGTTCACAGTTGGCATATCATGTGTTAATTCTGAGATTTTTATTATATCCTTATCCATCCTTATTTCTCTTTTCCTAGTTGGATTGCAGTTGTTTGTCCATCCTTCTCAAAAAAGCCATCTCATAACTTTGGTTATCCTCAGAGCTTCCGTGTTCCTTTTTCTTTATTCTCTATTTCCTTTCTAGCTTTTAATGTAGTTGCTTTCCCCCCTGCAACACAGCAACATGTTTTGAGTTATGATAGGTTCAAAACTATGATCCCGGTTGCATATTGTTAAAATTTGGTTTCTTGTGTAATATTCTAGATCTGTCTGACTCCAGTATATTCTGTTTTGAATGCTGTTACTCAGTACTGTGGGTTCTCTTTTGAAGTATGCAATCAGTTCTTTTATAGTGACCTGGGTGATTTTGTACTAATAGGATATTTGACATTTCACTGTACATCTCCATTACAAACCAATTATGAGGAAGTCAAAACGCCAGGGAACCAGCACAGATATCTATCATGTTCTATTAGGGTCACCTTTCTCCACAGTGAAAACTGACTGTTTTTCTTTTTGTTTCTTTCCTGTGTTTTCATGAAATATTTATCCATGTGAACCTTCCCACTTACTTCTCTGGAAATTAGTTTAGTTTGGGACCCCATCAAAAACTTCTTGGACATCTGAGATTAATTAGATATTCTTCTTTCACACAGTCATAGAGTTGGCTTTAAACAGCAGGAAAAAAGTTCTTAGTGCAATAATATTCCTGTTTTCTGAACCTGATTTTATACTTGGTTTTGGAACTCATTTGCCTTCTCAGAATGGAAGGGTCATTGTTGTGACCTGCTGTGTGAGGAAACTACCTAAAATTGAATAGTGAGTGTTGTCTTGTTCCATCTTTCTTTCTTTGTTGCATCCAGATCAGCTCAAACTTCTTGGAAATCAGCCAGTCTTTACAATTACAAACTTTGTTTTGTGAGTAGTTTTACTCAGTGGGAACTGAAATTAGGTTGAAATTGTATTCCTTGCACAGTTATCTTCTGATTATTCACGTATGCATTACTGTTTTGTTTATTCTGTGCAAGATTCTTGGGCTTCTGTGGGTGTCCATAGTCCTTCTAAGCTAAGAAACACCCAGAGGTTAACTGCACAGAAGAGAGATCCTGTGGGCTGCTTGCAGTTACTCACACTTAACAGATTTCAAATGTTATATTAAAATCAAGATAATCTTGGAAAAAAAAGGCGGGAGGGGGAATGAAAGAAGAAAGCCCACAAAATGTTGACCTTTCAACTGAAGTGACATTTTCTCCTGGGCTGGAGAAAGTAAGTAACCCAGCAGTCAAGCTTCTTGCAGCTGGCCTCATTTGGATTTGGTGCTCCCTTGTGGCCAGCAGGTTAAGGGAGGTGATTCTGCCCTTCTGCTCTGCCCTCGTGAGACCCCACCTGGAATACTGCGTCCAGCTCTGGAGCACCCAACAACAGAAAGACATGGAGCTGTTGGAGCGAGTCCAGAGGAGGGCTACCAAGATGCTCAGAGGACTGGAACACCTTTCCTATGAGGACAGGCTGAGAGAGTTGGGCTTGTTCAGCCTGGAAAAGAGAAGGCTCCGGGGAGACCTTCTAGTGGCCTTCCAGTACCTGGAGGGGACCTACAAGAAGGCTGGGGAGGGACTTTTTACAAGGGCCTGCAGTGATAGGATGAGGGGTAATGGCTGGAAGCTGGGAGAGGGCAGGTTTAGCCTAGATCCAAGGAAGAAGTTCTTCACCCTGAGGGTGGTGAGACACTGGCACAGGTTTCCCAGAGAAGCTGTGGATGCCCCCTCCCTGGCAGTGTTCAAGGCCAGGTTGGATGGAGCCTTGAGCAGCCTGGTCTGGTGGGAGGTGTCCCTGCCATGGCAGGGGGGTTGTAACTAGATGATCTTTGAGGTTCCTTCCAACCCAAACCATTCTATGGTGATTCTATGATTCTATGAAAAAAAGTATCAACATTAACTGACAGCTCACGTCTGTCTGCTTTGTTGCCTGATAATAACTTCTGTACCCAGCAGCTGCAGATGCAACCCAGCAAGACTGGGTGGCAATGTAGACTCACTTTACATTTCTGCTATGCAGCTAAAATGACCACAACTGTGCCACAGTGCTTCCCAGCACTGGGGCTGGGATCCCTGTGTTTCAGCACAGCTATACAGTAAAACATTGACAGTTCACTGCAAGAATAGCAAATATCCAGGTGCTGAGACAGACGGGTCAGTTCCTTGGAACAGCTTTTAATATAATTAACATTTGTTTCAGCATCTCTATGGAACATGAGGTAGAGCAGAGATCATCGTGCAGTTTCTCATGAAAACAAAGTGCCTTACTGTCAGTTATTTAATGCAGCTAAGTTTGAGTAACTTACATAATAAACTTAGTTAAATTAATCCTTCAAAGAGAATCATAATATCCTCACTGAATAGAAGCAAAGGATTATTTTTAGAGGAGGTATATTTAGTGTCTTTAGAAGGGGTGAAGTTCCTAGCAAATGTCTGGAATTATCCTGAGAGCCATTTTCTTAACTATCATGAACAAAAACCTACTTTTTACTTATTTAAATAGTACTTATTAAGTACTTTTACTTATTTAAGTACTTATTTTACTTATTTAAGTAAAAGTACTTCTCACTTTTTTTTTTGAATGAACTGTATAGAGCATGTAACTAGCTATTTGAAACTTCTTAGCTATAGCCAAAGTACTTCAGTCTAAATTTTTGTTTTGAGTAGAATACAGAAGAATATGGTGAACAATTCAGCTGAAGATGTGGTGAAAAGTTGGAGAGATTTTCCTTTGAAGTCATTGTATATATGGAGACTAATTACTGTAAAAAAAAAAAAGTCTTTTTTAAAAAAAGGGGTGTAAGAGGAAAGGATCTTAAGTGTGAGTGAGATAATATTCTGGAACTGCAGCCCTGAATATGATTTATGCAGCAAACAAAACTTTTTTTCTCTAATAAGTATTTAGATGTTGATACTTGAATGGATTTTCTTAAAAAAAAAATGAGTTGCATGCTTCTGTACAAGTGGCAATTTGCCAGTAAACATTCCCTCAGGATCCCTTTTGAAAACTTTGGTAATAAGTTGTAGCTGAGTGTAGACAATAATGCTTTAAGATTTTTTAACTCGTTATACTTTAGCCCCTGCTTCTTTTTCCCTTCTAAGGTTTGCCTTATTCCTAAATCTGCTCATGGTACAAATCCAGCAAGTGCACAAATGGCAGGGATGAAGATTCAGCCAATTGAAGTGGATAAAAATGGGAGCATTGATATCTCCCATCTAAAAGCAATGGTGAGTATTTAATTATCTTTAATTTTCAAGGCAGGAACACTTCTCTACAGGTCATAGTGTTGGCAGATGAATTAGGTTTTTCTTCGAGAGAAAGAAAACAGGGCAATAATAGTGAATACATGCTTGAAAAGGATAAGTAATTCTTTCTTTTTTTTTGCTCATTCAGTCTCTAGCCATGTGACACTTGTGAGATTTCCTTTAATTTAAGGATCTTTGGTGCATGAGTGGCTCAGAGAGTCTTTCTACACAGTAGGCTCTTTTATAGCAGACCTTTTTGGTCTACATCTAGTATTTGAAATGAATGAAGCCCGTTCATGAGCGTGAAGCATTTGAAACTGCCCTTTAGACTTCATTTGGAAAAGTTCAAGCCCACCTCTGCTGGGGAAGGTGTTGCTAGGCAACCTTTTTCACTTTTTTGAGTAGATTGTCTGCAGGTAAATCTTGGGAATCCAAAGGATTAGCAGGACACATTTCTAAAAATACATATTTGAGCAGGCTTTTATGGTAGTCAAAGAATGGTATTGCTGAAAGTAGGATAGTCATTAGATCACATTACCTTGAAGACCAGATGTCACTTGGCTTGTCTTAAGGTCCCAGAAGTGACTATTATTCATACATGTTTGTAATACCATGCCTTCTTACCTGATTTAAAGTTTTGATTTATTGAGGAAATACTCTTTTTCCATAAGTATTGCTGAAGTAGAGAGCCCTGTATCTTTTGCTGACTATGATGACTTATACTACCTGCTGATAGACTTGCTTCTCACCTCCAAAACACTTCATGACCTTAATCACATGTTTTTTGTAAAAATCTTCTCTTAAGTAGCTTTAGGAGCCTCAAAGACCCTTTTTTCTCCCTCCCTCCTTGCCAACAGGTGGACAAGCACAAAGAGAGCTTGGCAGCCATCATGATCACATACCCTTCCACCAATGGTGTGTTTGAAGAAGAGATCGGAGATGTATGTGACCTGATTCACAAACATGGAGGCCAGGTTTACCTAGATGGAGCAAATATGAATGCCCAGGTATAAAATCTTCTAGGTAGATTTATTACAACTGGGAGTGTATGTTTCCTTGGAATAAAAGTAGCACAACAGTACTCAGTTCAGCTCAAAACAAAGCTTCCTCACAAGATGGCACAGTGTTTCAGGGAGGAGATGGTTTCCAAGAAAGGTGATAAAAATTAGATGGTGAAAATAATTCTGTTTTATCTGATTTTGCCCTGAAATATGTTGTAAAATGTGTGAGTTGTTCACTGAAATTGGCTTAGTCTGCCTAATCTTTGTCAGAGACATTCTTTACAGACATTAATAAGAATTCCTAAAGCAAAAAATTGTTTGCTTTATGATACATCACGTTAAAGAGAAACAGGAAAACATCTCTTTTTCAACCTGTTTTTCTTGAATGAAGTAATAGGTCTTGAAATGGCATGTAAAAAATATTTTGAGACAGAGTATTCCCTTCACAGGTGGGTCTGTGTCGTCCTGGAGATTATGGCTCTGATGTCTCTCACTTAAACCTTCACAAAACCTTTTGCATTCCCCATGGAGGAGGAGGACCTGGAATGGGACCAATTGGAGTGTGGGTATCTCTTTACTAGCCTTAAAACAAAAAATCCCTTAGTGAGTCTTGGTTGGCAGTTCACTTAAGTACAGAGCCATGAATGGGAGAGGTCTACTGTTGCTTGTAAAGTTTTCTTCTTCTCCAGGATAGTCACATGCTGATCTCATGAATGGTGAGGTTCACGTGCATTCCCAAACCCTCACGTTCATGTTGGCCTTTTAGTGTGTATGGTAGACCTCTCTTAGCAGTCTGTTTTTTGAGTGAATGCAGAGATGATCCGTGGACTTTGAGGGCTGATATTGTACGTAGCCTGGAATGCAGAAGTGGTACATGCACTATGTGGATCTATCCTATAGGGCAATCATATTCCTTTAAAAGAAAACAATCTTACTCTTTTAAAAAAATAATTTTGATTTGAATAGCTGCACGAATATCTTGTGATAGGTTGAAAACTGAGTGCCATCCTCCATTGTCACCACTTCCATTAATAAACTTTCTGTTGAAGAAGACATAGATCAGACTTCCTGGAGGACTGTGTTTGGAAGGAAGTTGAAGAGAAACTACTGCTGAAACTGTCCAGAAATGGTAATACAGGAACACACATTTAAGTTCTAAAATCAATGTTTTTGTTTTAGGAAGAAACATTTGGCTCCTTACTTGCCTACCCACCCTGTCATCAAAATACAGCTGGATAAGGATGCATGTCCTTTGGGTACTGTCAGTGCTGCACCTTGGGGTTCCAGTGCTATATTGCCAATTTCCTGGGTGTATATCAAGGTGTGTAGACTTTTATGAGGCGTATCAGCTGAAGAGTTGTTTCTGTTTCAGCAAGTCTGAGGAGCACGGGAACCACATGAAAAGGTTTAAGAGCAACTTGTCATAAAATGTTTGCACAAACTGAAATGCATAAGACTGCAGCACAGTCATAGGTTATTTACACCATTTGAACCTCCTTGTTTTCCAGTAGGACAATGGAACAGCCTATTGCCATCTGTTGCAATAGGAAAGGATGGCAGGACAACTGCTGTATCTATGCAGCCTGCTTAATTTTCTTGTCTCTTGTCTGTAATAATTCTTGAGACAAGTGGACACAAGGCAGAAAGCAGGCTTGCCCCTCCACTGTCTCTGACATCGAAGTTTTAATGTTTAAAAGCTGCTTGGTAATTACTGTTCTTCCAAGAGTATTTTTGGTTGTATGCTGCAGTATTGTTATACTAGACCTGCATGTAGCATTTAACTTTCCAAAATCTGTTTAGTAAGAGCCTGAATTCCAGGGGATTTGAAAACTGAACTTAGTTTTGTCTTTGGTTGTGCAACAACTTGATCATGATCTATGTAATTTTTTAATGCCTTGAAATTTAGTGATAAGCCTGCAAATATGTGGTAACATATATGGGAGTGTTAAGCCAACAGAAATGAGTATAGATGCAAATTCTGTTTGAGCAGAGGGTGTGCTGGGACTCTGAGCAACATTTGGAGCTTTCAATGAGAGAAAGGGTTTGAATGGTGAGCATAAGGCCAGTGTCATTCAGAGTACCCTGATCCCTAACCATGGAAACTTCTCCTCCCAGGAAAACCAGCTCTTCTGGAATTTGAAATGAGCAAATATTAGCTGGTACAACTTCCATGGTGGCTTTTCAGCTGTGCGTAAAAATCAGTTGTGGCTGTAAGCTGGTTCCTATTACAGAATATTTAAACTGTAGTAGATTTTTAAGGGAAGATGTTTCTTCGCAATGCGAAGTGCCATCTGTTTACGCTATCCCATCTAAAGGGGCTACATTGAAGGCTGTTTTGGCTTTCTCCTTTGCCAACTTAACTTCTAAGTGCAGTGTTAAGAAATTCAATCACAGCTCAGTTCAGCATTGTCCTTGTGCAGTGCTTTAACAGAGAAATAAGTGCATCTGTGTTCATTTGGCTCTGGTCTTTGTTAATGCATAGCATCACCTGTGACATGACACCAGCAATCAGAGTTTGAATTGCTGGATAATCTGTACAGACAGAACACATAGCTTTTTGGATGTGTGAGCCCTCTGGATGCTCTTTCCCAGGGGGTAAGGATGGTGAAAGGCAGTGTGTGCAGTTCTTACAAGTGTGCTGATGACATTCTTGAGTTCTGCTTATTTTTTTTCTATTCCCTTCAGAGCTTCTCAGTTTGAGGAAAGGTTTGGGTTGTTCACTTGTGGACTTTAAGGAAAAAGTCTTATACAGTGAGCAGTCTCATAAGCTATGTATATCAAAGGTGCTCTCAAGTAATACCCAGTGCTTTCTATGAGTGTACTGTGGAATAGGAATGTGTAATAACAGTGTGACTGCCTTAAAACTAGCCAGATGCATTAAGGTGCTGTTGTATATCATGCTTGCCAGTACAAGAACACACTTAGCTTGCTTGGGAGTGTTTTTAGCTCTGTTTCTTCATGTTATTCCTCTTTCAGACAATGGGAGCAAAAGGTCTGAAACATGCTTCTGAGATTGCTATACTAAATGCAAACTACATGGCAAAGAGGCTAGAGAAGCACTACAAAATCCTCTTCAGAGGAACAAGAGGCAAGTATTGCACAATTTTTTCTTCTACAAAGCTTTTTTTTCCTCGTGTAGAAGTTGCTTGCAATATGGTTCTTTTTAATGCTACCTGGCAACTGCATCTCAAACTTCTCTTGATGTTGTTCACAAGAAATAACCTGCCACACTACTTCTGTGGAGGTACTGGAATGAAACTGAGATACTTGTAATTAGATGAAATGATGACAAAAGATGGAGTCATCCATCAGATGTTCTCCTTGAAGTCTAGCAGCAGATTCATGAACAGTAAAAAAAGGAGGAGCAATCTGAGATCTCCAAATCTTCCATAACCAATGGCACAACCATTTAAGAACTGGAAGCAATTTTTGGACCTGTACTTTCCCTTGCAAACTTTCTCAGAAAAAAAACCACCAAAAATGACAAAAACAAACATCCAAATTTCTCTCATTTCCTCTCCATATTCTCCTTTGTGAGACAGGGGGGGAATCCCCTTGGCAAGGCAAAATGCTTGAGCTACATTTTAGTTCCCTGGTACGCCTTTCCAGTCTTGCAGCAGGACAGAAGTAATGCATAAGAGGTGAAAGAATTATCTGTTATAGTAGGGTAACTATCAGAGAATGCCAGTTTTCTTGTTTAAGCTGAATGGCACCAAAGAACATTTGAGTACAGTATGTACGCTCATCAAAATATTTGTCTTAAATTTAATTGAGTACACCTTGGCTAAACCTGTAGGTTGCACATTAAGAGATTATTTCCTCAGAGAAGTGAATGGACGTTGCAAATTTTGAAAGACTGAGCAATGAAATGGAACAGAGTTCTCCAGGATCACAGATATCCAAGTTTAGATAACATGTCTTTAGCCTCTCTATAACACCAGAGTTGAGCTTTTCTCTGGCATAACATGAAACTGATTATCTTGCACATGGCTAATTCAAGATAGCCTAAGACCCAAATGCTGTTGGGCCACTGACAAATCCAATTATTTTTCAGAGTACTTGTAAACTACGGGAGCTACATTGACCACCCTTTCCTAGTTCTCATCTTGGACATGAGGACTCTTCTTAATGTGACATGGGACTCAGAGGGCCAGTCTTCAGCTATTGAGTGGTGTATCTCTTACCTAATAATTTCTCAGGTCTGAGTTTTTGCCCAAGGGGATATTTTTTTAATTTTTCTTTTTGCCATGTTCTCCACAAAACCAATCAGAATAGACTGCTTGGTAGACTGCATTATTCTCCTAGTAAGTAAACACAGTGTACAATTTTTCATTTACAGGTTATGTAGCCCATGAATTCATTTTGGATACAAGACCTTTCAAAAAAACAGCAAACATTGAAGTTGTAGATCTTGCTAAGAGACTTCAGGATTACGGTAAGTCAAATGTCTTTTTTTAAAAATAGCAGCATAAGTGAGAATTTCCTAAATCTCTTCTAAAGGGAGCCAGAAACATTCTAGTCCTGTGCTTATGGATGGTGAATTTCAGGTCTCCTCACATTCATTAAGGGCTTAGAGAGATATTTGCATCACTTGAGTTGTAGTAGCTACTTACAAGTCTGCTGCTACCTCCCCAGTTTTGTAAACTGCCCCTTCAAATCTGCAATTACATGACTCAACCATTGGAGCAAGTGGATTGGAGCTAAGAGTGTAATAAGATTCCTAGGGGAAAAAAAAATATTTTTTGAAGTATGATAATAGGATTTAAACGCTTCCATCCTGATACAGTTTAGGCAGTTTTGTACACATGCTGTGAAGAATCTGATCATGGCTACTCTTTGGCTGACAGAAAAATGACCCATTGAACTGCTTGATCTTGTGCAACTGTGCTTCTAATGAATATGCGTAAAAGCTGTTAAAACCCTAACCAGTAATACCTCATCAGCAAAATAATCCAAAGCCCGGTTGTGATACCAAAAAAACCATCCTTCCTGCTCTTTGTATGTGGGCTGCAATGGCCTTAAATAGCATACACCACTTTAAATAGACTTTTCAGTAGGTATGGAGGTGACTTACATGGATAAGTTTAGTAAAGTTCCATCCTCTGCAGCTGAAAGAGAAGTGTCATGAGGCTGTAATTAGCAGCAGTGCAGGAAGGGAATCATTTACCTTGTTTACCAGTGCAGAAACCTATACTCATCACACTTTGCTATTCAGCCTGTCATAAGAAGGTAAAGTGACAAAACACTTCTACTGAAGTGAGCAGCAGAACAGAAATAACCCAGGAAAGCAGCAAAATACTTTGGGCTGAAAAGTAACACAGCAAAAAGAACAGGTTTTAAGAGCTTTTCATTAAATCAGTGTGTTACTCTATTTTAAATAATACAACGGCATTACCTTTCAGCGCTAAAAACTAAGATACTTGAAAACTCTGTCTTACCTCTGCAGTAGACTGCCAACACTACCAATGAGTTCAGTCCTGCTAAGATCATAGAAAGGTCTGAAATTATGAATCAATTGCTAGCTAATGAATATATTCACTCATAATCTATTGTCAGTGACTGATTTCTTTATCAGGTTTTCATGCTCCAACCATGTCCTGGCCAGTGGCAGGGACACTTATGATTGAACCCACGGAGTCGGAAGACAAGGCAGAGCTGGACAGATTTTGTGATGCAATGATCAGTATTCGACAGGAAATTGCAGAAATAGAGGAGGGCAGGATGGACCCCCAAATTAACCCACTAAAGGTAAGCTGGTGTGTAGAGCAAGTTACCAGCATCATCTTAACCCTTAAGACTTACTTGATATCCACTTACACGAAGCTGCCTCCTGGTCTTTCAGTACTCTCAAAAATAACTGTGTGCAACAGTGAACACATGACCTTCTTGAAATTCAGCTTTTAGAACTTTAAACTTTTTCAGATTTTGTCTTTTTCAAGTCAGAAGTCTGGCCTTTGGTGACAGAGAAGAGAAAGTTATTTATGTAAGCAAATGATCCATAATTTTCAAGGCCATCTCAAAGTAATGAAGGAGAGATGCTTATTCATCTGGTTTAAGAAGGGAAGTGGAGTGACCTTAAAACTTAACAGTAAAATGCAGACTGAATGAATTATTTTAGCAACTGCAACACAGAATTGCTATAGGCTCAAGTTCTGTTCAGCTGTTGTAATGCTGTACTGACTTTTTAAATACCACAGGGATTTAATGAAAAGCTGGAAGTGTATTCAAACCTTGGGTAGTATCTTCAGGCAAACTGAAAAAAATATCCAGATATTGACTTGCTTCCTGTTTTAAATCTCCCTTTTTTCCCCCAGATAAATGGTATTCTCAAGAGACTCTCTAGACAGTAATTATTTGTATGTAGCAATGTGAACATGAAGGTGCATTCACATTGATACGTTCAACTGAATTCAGTAATTTCATGTCCTAAACATGTCTTTTTCGCTTGTAGATGTCACCACATACTCTGAACTGTGTCACTTCTTCCAAGTGGGATCGTCCTTATTCCAGAGAACTGGCAGCATTCCCACTAGTGAGTAAATAATGGGATTCCAGTGGTACGGTACTACATAAATGTGCTTTCTGCTTTGTGGTTTTCTGGTCAGCTAGAGAGGAAGTAATCTAGTAAGAATAAAAACTTCAGGGGCATTTTTACTGTTGCTCAATTTTTATGGGTGTGAGCTCTACAGTAGTTCAGTTAGTGTTGTTTTTCAAGACAAGGAAAAGAGACCTTAAAAGTCTCTACACGTGAAGTGGAAACTTGGATTTCTAAATCTCATCACTTCAATATTGGATAATCCTATTAGAAACAGGCCATTCCATCCTGACATACTGCACCAGGGGCTCCCAAAACAGAATCCCATGTCCTGTTCAAAGCTTTCCTCCAAAGAACTTGGATGAGGGTTTGACAAGATGCACAGTCAGCATGGGGCAGCCACATCAATGTGAGCCTGCTACAAATAAAGGTCAAACTGGAACTGGATACATCAGACTTTTTCAGAGCGCTACATAAGATTGGTTCCACAATCTTAACAGCTAAATATATGTGTAACTAACTTTTCTCACCTAAAACTGAATTGCATTTATTTTATTGCTATGTACTATTTCAAAGAAGAATTTAACTGCACCTGTGAAGTTTGACACCTTCTTTTATATACTATGTTGAACAGCAAAGGTCTTGGTAGTCCCCTCCACTTTTCCGTGGTTCCTATCTGTAAGCCAGTTACCCGAGGGGTCGTAGTTTTCTTTTACCCCATGACAATTGCTTTTTGCAAGCATTTGTTAGAGGACATGGTTACACTTTCTGAAAATATAAATATTCTTTCAACTGCCAACTCTTATTATACATCCTTGTTAATTTTCAGAGACTGCAAGTAGATTTGAAGTTATGACTTCACTTTAAAATCCCCACTTTTCCAGCATTTGTCATTCTGGACACCTCTAATGTCTATTACAATTATGTAGATATGCTTGATAAAAAAATTAAAACAGTTGTTTCTTCTTATGTACTTAGCCATTTGTGAAGCCTGAAAGCAAGTTTTGGCCCACAATTGCTCGCATTGATGACATATATGGAGATCAACATCTAGTTTGTACCTGCCCACCAATGGAAGCCTACGAATCTCCCTTTTCTGAACAGAAGAGAGCATCTTCGTAAGACTGCTTCCAGCTGTCTGGATTTCTGAGTCCATCAGGATGGCCTTTTCCTCCCAGACCTGATAGGGGATTTATATACTATGTATATTTTGGATAATCACTATGTTTGTTAATTGAATCACTGCTCAGTTAAAATGTAAATACAATCAACATGTTAGGTGTAAACAAAATATGATTGTTCCACAGCAGTTGATGTTGAAGTTGCCTTGATTCAGCATTTGTCTGTTTTGTGCTAAAATTTTAACAATTGACACCCAATTTGCAAAGTGGCATGTAAGTTATGGTTAAAATAGTAGAAAAGATGCAGATGCATAAGGCAATAGTAATGAATATTAACTGCAGGACTAATTGTTTACATTTTGTAAAACAAGATGAAGTAGATTGTTTAATGTACTTCACGTATTACCACTAGCATTGCTAGTGTTAATATTTCATACTGTTTTTTTTACCTACCAATGTTAGTACTGTAATAAAATTAGTCAGAATTTTAAGTGTTGTGATGTTCTGGATTTTAACTTTCCAACTGGATTTATCCAGCAGAGCAGTATGAAACTATGAAGCTTATGTTCCAATTTGTCAGAATTGCCACAACAGTAACAGCTTCTACACAAACCAAAATACTGGCAGAGATTAATATTGAAATAAATTTCTGATTTTTTTAATAAGCTAGAATACTCAGTTTTACTGAGCAGTAACAAACTTTTTTTTTTCCTATATCATATAATTTTTTTCCTTGTAGTTCCATCTAATCCTGTCTTATTCCAGAGAAGGCATGAAACATCTCTTCTAACTGACTGTGAACTGCTTACTATGAGTTAGATCTTGTCTAACAAAGTGTTCTCCTTCCATAGTTTCTCAAATTTCTTATTTTGGATACCAGTTTTGGTTTATACCAAGGCACTCAACTTGCCTTGCTTTGTCATGTAAGTCTACAGCTTGTGTAAAAACTGATTCACAGCTTTAGCTCTGGCCCACCAAGAATACCAACAGCACCCTGAGACCAGAGTCCTACTGCTACACACAGTGCCACATTCAATTACTCAGTAGCCAGATCGCTAACCTTTAACAGAAGCCTCTTCTAATCTCTTCCCAGTCAAATTTGTACAAAACGCGTCCTCCTACCAGTTACGCAGACAGACCATACGTGTTAACAAGCACATTTGAAAGGAACCTGAAAGCAGGTCTGTACAGATTCATTTGTGTTTGATGCAAGTGAGCGCCCCTGTAGAGACAAACGCATTCAGGCACATGAAGCAGGATTTTGGTGAATGAGGAAGCAAGTACTGGGGTAACACTCAGACTGGGGAAAGGACTGCACAGTTTTGGGCCTTACAACCAGCAGCTACTCAACTTCTTCTTAAGAGTCTACATGCACATTCATGCCTGGGAGCTTTCTCTGAAGTGACACAAATGAGGCTAGTGTTCACAGAACTGTTTTAAGTACTGTACTTTTGTGGCCTATTTAGTTGAAAGTTTTGGGACTGCAACTTTTTCATTACCTACCTTATGACTTCAATAGGGGCTTTAATTACACAGAGACAGCAAAAGACAGGAAACAGGAATGGACTTCATTAAAGGAAGTTTAGGCCAGGTATCAGTTTTGATATGAAAAGCCGCACTTAGGTCCTAAAACATCTAAATACATAGTGAAGAAAATTAGAATTTTATACTCTAGAATTTACTATTGAAAAAGGCGTCTTTCAGTAGCTACTGATATAGCACCAAGGGTGTAAAAAATTGTGAAAGAACACTGCAAACTTGTACTGTGAGGAAAGGACAGTCTTTCTGCATTGCCAGTCTTAACTCCACAAAGTCTTATCAAGCTACTTTAATGTTTGTTAAAGGCAGTTTCATGTTGCTTGATTGTGTCTGTCACTGAAAAGATATATTAAAAAACTGGTTTACATATTTTTGTATTAAGCAGAGAACTTCCCATTGTTGACCTCAAACTGACAAATGTATCTCATCAATTAATTCGTAAAAGCTATCAAATGGAAAACAAGCATTAATATTTCACAGCACTCAACTATCAAGTAAAAAGCCACAAGTATTATGTGCTTACTGCACAGGTGCAATGATTGTTACAAAGGTAAAATTACATGTTTTCCCCATAAAATACTGACCTACTGTTTCGTACAACACAGAAGTTCAACAGGATAGAAGAATCTGTCTACAGCTCTTTTAAACTATGCTTAACAGTAGTACCAATTCACCTACTGAACAAAGGCTGAACCCTCATTCTAGTAAGCACAGAAAAAGCTGAGGAGTTAAATCTTCCAAAACTTCAGCAACACCTGTTTTTTTGATATATGCCTAGAGACGGTACCAGCATTATGTATTTTGGATGCAGCTAAAATCATAACTAGAATAGCGGGGGAGAGGAGAGAGAGAGAGAGAAGTTGTTACTTATTTTGGATGAAGTGAATAAGCCATTAAGGTAACTTTCAGCCACAAAAAAACAGCACTGCCATGTGCATCTCAATGACCCGTTCATTACCACAGCAAGGTGAGGGCAAGATCTTAAATTACTGAGAATGACATATATACTTCCCTGAATACTCCTATATATGCCTACTTTGCAGGCTACAGGCTGCCAGTGCAGGCCCGTGCCCATGGTGGGAATCTTTGTGTAATCGCTGTGCAGGGCACCCACAGCTCTCAGCTGCACCAGACTGGCTCTGGCAGCAAGCACCGCCAATGCCAGCAGGGCAGGAAGGTCTCCCTCCACCTCCCGTACATAGACTGAGCACTAACAAGCTTCCTTCAAATGCTCAGTAGGGACGAGAGTAGCTACATGACAGCTGCTGCTATAGAGTATGTATGAGCCCATTGATACCGATGTCAAGTTGTTTTTTTTTTTCTTAATTAACAAAGTTTTACTCATTGAGAAATGAGTTAAGGAATATAAAGCCTCATGTCTGAAAAATAAGGACACCTAAGGAAAGCATTTAGTAATCTAAAAAAAGTCTATAAAAATGTTATGATTTAAATAAGTGGATAATAGTAAAAACAAAATTAGCATTTTTTCTGAATCATAAAATATTTAATAAGGTATATTTGGGGGGGGATATACTGTATATAAAATTTCAGATCACAATATGAAGCGATTTGAACCCTCTCCAAGCTAGCACTGCCTTCAATGCTGTGTAGATGTATTGCCACTGATACAAGACCTACTAAAAGCATACAGTTTAACTAATACAGAAGTGGCTTTTTTATATGAAATATTTTTTACACAACTAGAGTGTCTTGAATACCCTCTTTAAGTGCAAAAAACACAGATCACTTTACACTAATGCAGCAACAATGCATTCATATTGTTCTCATTAGTCATTAGTAGTCAACTTGCATAAGATACAAGAAAAGCACAATGAAGCTCACAAAAATAGACTAAAAATCAGCCTGTTCTTGCAAAAAAATACAGCATAGTAGAAGAAAAAGACAAAAAAGGATTATGCACACCACAGAATTTGCTGTTCTTTAATCCAGCTGGCTTAAGTGCTGTTTCTGGGGTTTTTTTGCTGTTTTTTGTGGGTTTTTGTTTTGGTTTGGGTCTTTTTTTTTGTGAATCAAACCACATGGACCAGGCACAACTAATATTCAGGAGGCAGTGTGTAGCTAAAACTTCACTAACTTTTTGTCATCCCCACAATTTATTTTCCTCTGTCCTGAGGTAGTTACAAAAAAAAAACAAATCATAAATTCAGCATCAGCTAGGCCAGTAAAGAGCTGAGGCTTTCTTTTTTTTTTTCTTTAAAAACTGTTTGTTAACTGGCCAAAACTACCCTTGATGTTAAAAGACAGCTGAGAATTCGAGTTCTCACTACACCAAAAAGATGGCTATGAGGGGAAGAGGGTTAGCTGCTTCAAAATGTGTCAATATATTGAGTCCCATCAAGCTGGCTGGTCCACTGTTGAATTTCCCATGTTTATTCTCCTTCACTGTCTATAAAGTCACTGGGAGAAATACAGAAAGATCTGAGCACATCATCGTCCTTTACTGTAACCAGGGAAGAATTGATCCAGCAATGTCTGCAGTATCTTGTTGGGAACCATGGTGTAGCCCTTTCCCAGGTCATAGCGGCAGGCAGGGCAGGTGAAGACTTCAGCTCTGAAGGAGCGCTGTAAACAACTCTAGGACATACAAAGACAGAGAAGTAAATTGTGAGAACTCTGTTTTAGACTGACAGCTTAACCAGCAAACACTAAGGAATCACTATACACCAAAGATGCAATCTGCCTTACTATCATAAAAACCGAAGTCAATACCAAGCCCTCTGGTGCCTAGCTCTGTCTCTGTGACTAAAATGTCATAACAAAAGGAACCCTGCTCTGGGCTGGGATGTGAAACATTTTGCTTGGGAGGAATTAAAACAAATCACTACTAAGATTTCCCCTTCATTTCCACTACTGCCTTCCTGCGAATGACAGCCTCGTCTGCAGCTTCCTTCTAGCTTCACAGTTAGACTGCTACAGTTATCCAGACCTTCATTTCAGGAGGAAGGTGACTATACCAGGTATATTGTTAATCTAACAATATCCATCTGCCTCATCAGATGAAAGTCAATTAAGCCTTAGAAACTTACGTAAAATAATACAACCTCTAACACCATACAGTGATTTTTACTGGGGTGATACATATCTTCTTGAACAGCAAACTCGCATTGTCAGATACTGTACTAGGATAATGATAGTTGGAGTCCTTTTAGACTCTTAGGCAGAAATACTATGTATGGTGGGCACATTTCAAATATGCACAATTCAGTGCATGATTCTGTACACACCCATGCTACAAAAATTAACTCTAGTACAAATTGGGTTCCAAACTCCTTACATTATATCTAACTGATCAGTATTTTAAGATAGATGAGATATAAATTGACTTCTGTGGCCCTCCTACCAAATATAAACAATGCCAAGAATAACAAGATAACATAACTTACTCCGAATAAGCCCAAATAATCTTCTTGTACTTACCCCGCATCCTTTCAACAACTTAACTGTGTAAAATTAAATTATTGTTACTGTACCAACAACCAGCTCCTGGAGCAAACCAATTCCAAGTGTAATTCCACCGATCACAAAGGAATGACAGCAATAGCAAACATCACTCACTATGTCTACCAGGAACTATACTAAACGTACTTCTGCTTTTTATTACTTAAAACTAAGGTTACACAGCAATCACTGAATACAAACTTGTTGCATCTTTTTGCTCAGAATTTTAGGCAATAATTATAGTCTTTCTAAAATACACATAGCTTTGGTGACCGGTGCCTCAAAGCCAAGAACACAGTCCAGAGCAGACGGAGTTTATTCTTACTTTACAGACGTTGTGGAGGCACTCTGTTGTCACTGGCTGGTAAACCAACTCCTGGCAGCAGACACACATAAAGGATTGTTCCAGTTTCTTCAGAAAATTCTAGTGTAGGGCAAAGGAAAAGACAAACTTCATTACAGTTCTCATAGATGCCACTTATTACATAAAGATGATGAACTTCCAGAAGTTCTTAAGTCCTCTATATCCCTGAATGCAGCTTTCTAAAACTAATCAGGAAGCAGGTCCATAACTGCTTAATTTCCCTGCTCTTCCACAAATCAGAGAACTAATGTTTCATAGATTATTTACGTGTTTGTGTAAGTAGTGTTACAAACAAAATGAAATAGACCAATGGGCCCTCATGCCTGATCCTTAGCATAGGTCAAAAAATTTAGTAATTGTGTTTAGTAACTGCTGCTAGAAATCTGCATGTCCCTGAAAAATCTCTGCTTCTCTGGGGAGCTTCTCCAAGGGAACTTCTGTTCTGCTAGGAAAGCCACTTTTGCACCTCCTCCTGCGCTTATGGATTATGGCTAGCTTAATGACTTCTTCTCTCCTCAGGCCAAATTCTCTGCAGCGTGTAAATCAACCTCCCTGGTTTATACATCTTCTCAGGGCATCTCTGAGGAATCTCAAGATACACTTGCATCAGGTGTTTTACACACACAAGCATGCTTATCTCTAGCATGTCCGCGATCTCCAAATATGTCAAGAATACAAGCCTGGGTACAGAAAAAAAAAGCAGAACCACAAAATATGGTGCTTTGTAAATAACTTTTAAAATACCAGATTTATCTGAAAACACATTGTATTTAGTTAAAAGAAAAGCTGGTTGTTTCAAGCAGAAAGATTTACATTTTCACAGTAGCGACCCAAAGCTACCAGCGATTCCCATTGCCTTTAGTGGCAGCCAAATGGAAATCTTACCAAATTACAGGTAGGAATCTGTAGAACAATGACTTCTCAGTAATTCAACCACTTTTAAATTACTGTTTTCTCCTTTGTACAGGAGAAACACATATCTCTATTGCCTGTCATCATTCACACTTTTAAGAGCTGAAATTCCTTCTAGTCATTACAGACACTGGATAGAAGAGAGATAACTGCGAATAACTTTACACAGTTCCTACACGAAGACAACTGCAGCACCATTATAGCAAAAACTAATACTGTAAGTGGAAGAACAGAGAATTATAGATGCTTTTTCTATTACAGAAGCACCATAAATAGCCACTGGTAATTCTCAAATAAACTAATTACGTATGTCCATTTTTAGATATTAATTTTCCAACCAATGGTTTGTTTTTCACTGAGTTGAGTTTTATCAAGTTATTTTAACTTCTTAATGCCTTTATTTCTTCTGCAAAACAGCTAAAATAACTATGAACTTGGCACTGGTAAGACTAATTTTCACTGAAAGACACAATATTTCAGGAGATATTCCTTTTGTGGACTTTTTTTTATACTAGTGTCTATAGTCTCTTCAATCTTGAGCTACTCTTGTTCTTTTCTTGACATTTAGGGGGAGGAAAGTATTTTCTCTCTTACTTAACGTTCCCTCCCTACAGAGTGGGATAATCTAGATTTGGAACAAAATATTTTTATTTCATATCTAAATTTGAAGATCTTCTGAAGTACTTCTATCTCCCTGAACAAAGCATGCAAGCTGTATTTTCTGTCATAAAATTATTTTCTGTCTTAAAAAAAGTAGTGACTAGAACCATCTTTCTTCATACCTGACTTCTCACATGAGCACAGTACAAAAATACATTTATAATTCCAGAGAAAACATCTTCCCTTCAAAACTGAAAAGGGAAAAAAAGCCACTTCTAACTTCAAAATGGTTTTTTTGAGCAAGAAAAGTCTCCATATCCAGGCGTAAATTGACCCACCAACAGCAAATTGTACAAACGAGGATTATTTTCCTGTAATCAAAGTCTTATTAATAAAAATAATGCTAGACACAGTCTGTATTCAGTAGAAGTTCAATAAGCAAATTAGGTTTTAAGAAAGAGTCAAGATTTCTCCTAACAGTCTAAAGAAAGCAAAAATTATGCATGCAGCAAACATACAGGTCCTTCCTTAAGAGAAGCAAGTACTTCATCCCACAGTTTCTGGTTCATACAGTCTTCTCTAATCAGCCATTGCTGCTCTTGAGTCAGCTGGAAAGCCTCTCCTTTCCCTCCATCTCCCATCCTCATGGCTTTGGGTGTATTTGTAGGTTCCTCTATACCTGCTTAAGATTATGACCATCAGACACAGTAACCACAGAGTGTTAGTCTGAACGAATTAGAAGGGGAAGACAAAACTTTTTCTAGAAGGCTAAAACACGGATTACACTCAGGAGATGTGGCAATCAAATCCCTACTCCAAGTCATACTGTTCAGCATTGTTTTGGACTGCAGCACACAGCTGCACAGATGACTGTCCATCTTTTTACAGAGCTTAAGAGAAAAAAAACCTGTAAAAGTAGCAAATACAAGATCCCTACATTACTACTTAGTTACAGAGCATGTGCATAACAATCCACATTAGTATTCTACGTAACTTCACAATTCCACAAAGTTTGCGTGCTACTAGTTTAATAAATGTAACATGACAAACTTGGCTGGTGAATGATAAAAAAGTAAAAAGAAATACCATCATCAATTGTCCTTTTCTGGTTTCCGTTACTCTGGTTGGTTGGCTCCTGTTTCACAGTTTGCTTTTTAACCTTATCTTTCTTCTCCTTACTAGCCATGGCTTCCAAATAACCTTCTGGATACTAAAATAAAAAAGCATAGATTTAAAACAAAACCCACTGGCATACAGGAATACCCAAATACCAGTAAGACTGACTTCTAAAAGAATTTTCTAAAAGAATTCTAAAAACTGAAATAACTACAAAATAATTTTTAAAATGCTACATGATGGAGAAAACATTTAAATTAGGATCTATTGTTAGGGAAGTATAGTTAAGTCAAAGAACCTAACCCAGACTCGACTGCATTAAAAGGAACCCAATATCCATACCTATGCCCTTACAACTATACAAATCAGTTAGCCAAAGCTGAAGATGGTGGTATGCTGTAAGACATACCATTGCTTTGCTGAGAAAAGTAACAATATGTTAATTCTTTCCATCTTTCATGGATTCTGCAATGCCCAAGACCTCATGGTGTGCATGAAATACACTATTTATACAAACTCCTCAGTCACAAGGAGAGAAAAACACATAGAAATGCACAGTTTTTTCAATTTGTCAGACAGACTCAGCACAACAATAGTCACTTATAGAAATTATTTCCAGCTGAAGTATCACAAAACTACATTCAAACTCTTTAATTTTCCAATCCATATATGCAAACCAATTCACTGCTAAGGCAGAAAGCTTTATCCACCATTCCTTCTGCTGTGTCACTATTACAGGATTCTTTCAGTCTGTAGATAATCTGTAGCATTTTTTTGGCATTAAATCCTGCTACAGTGAAGTACAAGGAAAACAAATGGGGCTTTAATTTAACTGATTTCTATTTCCAGAATTTGTTTACTGGAACTGAATGTAAAAACAACTCTGTGAGTCCTGATTCTAACCTGTACACTCAGACCCAGTTTCTTTGACCGCTCCATTCCTTCTGAAGTCCAAGGTGCAGGCTCAACGTCATCTCTCCTCAGAAGATAGCGCCAAACTAAAAATCCACATTTTCCAATTTCTGGCCAATATTTCACCACCTAAAGAACAATATAAAATTATTGCCATTTTTTTATCACAAGCCAAACACATGCATACAGTCATACTTTAATTGTTCAAGAAGAAATGAGAAGACTAAGTTATACTTTACTATGATACAGCAGCTTTTCCCTCAGGTGCAAAATTTCTGTATTATTGATAAACACAGTGCTCTTAAAAGGCACACACCTTTATTTCAGATGCTGAGGAGTCATT